GGGGGTAAATTTTGGATTTTGGTCTCACTTAGGGTGTTCTGGGCAAAGCGCCATTATATTTTGCCATAAATATAATACTTTAGGGTTACACGCGAAGAAATGTAAAAAAATGATATATAAATTATATTTAAATTCATGTAATCAAAGTTAAAAATGGTCTATGTTAGGGGTCAATAATAGGTTGGGCCATGCCCATATTGGGCTCCTTTATGGTTTAATTCAAAATTTCCGCCAAGCATCCCAGCCCCTTTCATATGGGACTCCCACCCTGGGCATGGACGTCAGTTTGGCGAATTTTTATGTGGTTATTGGTGCTGAACGGGTTAACTTGAAGCTAGATGACAGTGACAAACACAGACCTCAAAGTAAGCAGTTGTTTGTGTTTGTGGGCGGGTGTGACAAGACAAGACAAGACAAGGCTTTATTTGGTGTGTGTGTGTGTCCGTGGGGGGATGGGGGTGCTCATTCAGTCTTAGGGTTAGGTCAGATCTAGCCCACCCCCTCCTCCTCCTTGATCTGCCACTGAGTCTGGAGTACTACCTTTTGACATAGTATAGGTGTACGTGCTCTTGGATGATATCCCATAATCTTTATGTTACAGGAGTATGATGGAATTCAGAGATGGAATTCAAATTCTGACCTTTAGTCTAAGATAAGGTCACAGCATTGAACAAACCATGTTATAAAGAAAACTTAACTTATTTCAAAGAGTTTTCGATTTTTATTTCTTTGATGGTCAGTGACCCGCAACGATGGTAATTTTTTTATTCCGGTGCTTAATGATGTTGGATATGTTATTTCTCACCAGCTTCAGGGTGTTCCACTGTACACTCTGGAGTCCAAGGCCCTGCTTTCACATAACCCCGTCTTTCCAGAGCGTAGGTCATTCCACCATCCCCTACTATCACTTCACCAGCACAGAGCCGCTCTAGTATACCACGCTGAAATTTAAATATTATCAGTATTTGAAAAGCAAGAAATAAACAAGGCGATCATTAAAAAAAACATACATCGCCGTCCTCGACTTTTCGTTTTGCCACTCTACGCATTTGGACGGAAAACAAAACTAAAAATCATGTCCTGTGCAACTCTATATTCCGAAGCATCAATTAAAAAAAGAGAAACTTACAAGCTTTCGTGCACGACGTCTTCGATCTCCTCTATTGCACAAGAATAAGGGAGCAACAAAGGTCGGCCAGCGCCTCGAGCTTAACTTCGCAACGCCGCTGTATCTTTATGATTTTCGATGGTTTGAAAACCGATAAAAACGCAAAGAAATGCAAACCATTGGATACTCACCTTTTCTTCCTTAGACATGGTTAGAAGCCTGCACTGAAATCAATTTCACGTTCGCACGTAGTGCTCGAAGGTGTGAGAGTGGGCAGTAAGGGGGTCGCTCTCGGTCACGCGAGAAACGTTACTACTCCCCAGTCCTCCAAACGGTAAAAATAGCAAAGAGTCCCCAGCCCTCTCAAAAAGTTAAAGTGGATGAAACGGTCATCATGGTGATCATGGTCATTCATCAGCTACTGCAGTCATTGCAGAGCACGTCACTTCAACTGGTCACAGTTTGAAATGGGAATATTTTGACATTTTAGCAAGAGGAAAGTCAGATACCCTTGTAAAACCAAGGAGACTCTTCTTATTAGGGATTTAAAACCAGCCCTAAATCAAAATAATAAGCAGTAATTCCATGGTAGGGCGTTTATTTTGGCAGTTCTTATCTGCTCATCTGACTTTTGAAGGATATAAAGATTACTAGCTCAACAAAGAATACCACTGAAATAGAGTCAAACTCCACTGGTTTATTAACAGATTCATTCAACGTTCAATTGGGTCAGGCAGCCATTTTCACATTTTCTTTCGAAATCGTCTTCTGACTAGTGTGGTACCTGCGCTCATACGCACTCCCACGTTCACTATTGCCTAGTCCCTAGGCCTCATTATTATGCGCGGCCGATGCGTTTCGGGTCACGTGGTCCGCCCGTTCGTCTCGGATACGTCACCGAAATGCATTGACCGAGAGGGTCTGGAAAGACGCCGTACAGGGACTAGGCAACGTTCACTCCCATGCTACACACAAAACCCCGGAGGCGTATAAAGATAAAGGTCCTTATTTTACGTCGCTAACTAGTGACAGTACCTCAACTGCGACGATCTTCTTTGCATTTATTTCTTCATTCCATGGTTTCAATATATAAAGTTTATGTACATTGCATTTATCAGTTCAACTTAATCTTTCCCCGGTATATTACGAACCAATTGAATGAACAGTTGGCTTGCAAAGCGCTGCATCCACGTTCCCAGCGCTTTTCCCCTTAAGCCCCTCATATTTTATGAGCGAAAAAGCCCTGGGAACGAGGTTGACAGCGCTACACCGCAGTCGCTGAGGTCAGGGTTCCGATCCCAGGAAGACTGAATTTTTTAAAGTTCTTTTCGCAACTGCATAAGTTGCATCTTGCGATGATCTTTTTTGCATTTATTTCCTCATCCCGCGGTTCCAATACATGAAATTCATATGTTCATCATTTCAATAATTTTAAAAACTGACAAACCCGAGACCGACGATGCGCTCATTAGACAACCCGCCCCCCACACTCCCTCCCCTGACTGTCTTTCCATCTTTGCTCCTTTTTACGGGTTTCACCGTTTGACATAGCGCTTTAAAATCGGCCATTTGAACGATGACGTCATTCGATTATATCTTCAAGAATCCTTCAGCATTTTGTTTCTGGTGAAAATGTGTTATTTAAAACGCACTAGGATTACTAAAACTGAATAAGAAAGAAAACACGGCATGAATTGTACTGGTTGTCATCAAGCGACGTCATCTTGGAGATCGGTTCACATGACGTAACGGCGGCCATATTGCATGGTGTAGAAAACGATGAAATGGCGGCAATGACATCATGTGGGAATTGGACTCTTTTCTCCTGTAAAAACGTTCTTTAGTTCCATGAAATTTGCTGACCATGTGAGTGAAAACAATCTAAATTGAGGTCGACGTTTGTCTTGAAATTACAATGTAATACTGGGATCTATCTCCATTAAGGACCAATGAAATTTGTTGACCATGTGAGTGAAAACGATCAAAATTGAGGTCGACGTTTGTCTTGAAATCACAATGTAATTCTGGGATCTATCTCCACTAAGGACCAATGAGCGTTCGCTTGTGCCGAGGTCTGACGTCATCAGGCTGGTCCGTCAAACTTGCTCTTTGCAGAAGAATACGGGCGGCCTGTAGCAGGTTCCAGGCTCTCCCAGTAAGCTCGGTTGCCCCTGGATACAAAATCACAAATTGAACTTTATTTGCTCACCCTTGTTACATAAAAATGCGTCAAAAAATTGTTAACGATAAAGGCCACTGGTGAGTGTTGCCGTAAATTTGGAGTGTAAAAGTACTGCATCCTAAAATTTTCTTTAGCGAACAATTTATAGTGCTGTTCATTCGAAAGAAATTATGGGCACTGTAAGCCTCTCCAAACATCAACAACTCCCGTCTGAACGTTGCCGAATTGTTAGCAAGTTATGGGAAATTCGTTTCTTAAATTTTAAAACTTTTTGCATTTCTTACGAGATCTGTGGTATCAAAGTATGATAAACTACAGAATAATTAACTGTATAATTTTCACGAAACCTTGTGGCAAACAGAAAATAGAAACGTTCATTGACTTGGTCAAAAGCTAGGGCTTTCCCGTCCTTTTTTTTTGACAAATTTCCCTGACTTTTAACCATGACTGTCCTGCTAATGTCACTTACACTAAATGGGCAATTGTACTCTTAACTTACTGTACTTCATACACCGCAACCCAAACTGTGTCCTTTCAGAATACCAGTAAACGCGTAGAAAACCGACTTACTTTGTTTTCGCGTGAAATTTGTTGTAAGAGCAATAGAAAAAACTTTCTTTTGCTCAGGTTTCGCTGTTCTCTTATCATCTCGCCTGGCTCTCTATATTACACTCATCAAGTTTGGTCTTAACGCGAAGATTATGAAAGACAAATTCACTTTCAAATGTTTGTTTATTATTAGAAGATCGACCAGTGTCAAGAAACTGGTGCAAGCTTCGATTAGCTCTGTGCTAGTTGCGCGTTTATTTGTCGTTAATAATGCTTACCTTGCTCTACACCATTCTTTCGGATGAGCTTTTAAGCTCTCCCCCCAAGGGCTGTGTTTTTGACTTGCTTCTGGCAGAAACCCTCTTTCTATTGCAAGCTGAAACGAAAAAAAATATATTGCTGAAAAGATATTGCTCGTTGTTTTCAGCTTTAACTAAGAAGAGCATATGCAGAACGTGTCTAAGTATTTTTAATACTGTAAGGCGAATACTTAATATATATAATTAACTCGCTTCTTTTAAATTCCTTTTGTATAAAAGTATAGCAGTGTGGAAATACGAAGAGCAATTAAAATTAAGGTAATTTGGAAGCTTAGAGGAATAGAACTGTGAGAGTTTAAAACTTACGAAATACAAGTACATGAACGTTTAAACCTTTAGTAGTGTTAGAGTTTTAAGGTGTGGAACTGTGACGTTTGGATGCCGTAGAAGCTTATAGGTTAAGTGTGAAACCATGGAAGCTTAATTGTGTGAAAATTTGAAGAGTGGAGGCCTGGAAGTTTGGTCATATGGAGGGTCCTCTAATGTACTGTACTGACTTGCATTTGTTTTGTCGGTGAAAATTTTTCCAATTAAAAAGTTTAGCAAAAGAACTTGAATGGAGAAGTCGATATCGGGACTACACCATACCGAGTTTAGGTGTTGTCGGCGGTTATATGGACTGAGGCAAATCATAGGCCTGTCGGGCGTACTTCTGCACATCCCAGCGAGTCAAGGTACGAGGCTCTAGAGCTAAAATAACAAACAAAATGGGCATTAGGTGTTTCATTACCGTAAAACGAAAACGTCACTTAAAAAGTGAATTTGCGCTGCGTCGAACTTTATTGTGCTCATTCCATCTCGTTTAATTCGTCAGATGTCGGCAAATGATTTTGGAGTTGAATTCTAAAGGACTATAACAAAGTTCAGGAAAAGGAAAAGAAACTTGTTCTCGTGTGTTTCCGTCCTTAACAAAACGTGAAATTATGCACTTTCACGTCGTAGTCGTGAAACGACGGCAAAGAAATGTACAAAAAAGCGTGATGCACGTGCAAAGCTGTTGTTTTGCTAACATAAACCTATTGCTATTTTGCCGTTCTCGTTGCCGTCGCCGCTATCGTTGCTTAAGCTCTCTTTTATCGGTCCAAGACGGGGAGTTTAATCGATAGGAGGCGTTTCCAGTTCAACAACTGGCATGTCTAGGCCACCTTTCAAATCTCAACTTTTATGACAGAATGCTCATTCAGGGTCTTTTTCTTGTCATCGTTAGTCTATCCTTAATTTGACCTTACTTTGAACATGACATTGAAATTCGCAAACGTTGTTATTCAAGCAATAAACTGAATAAATTGAATGATTCCGCTCCTTTTTTCTAATTCCTAGTACTTTGGAGTAACTGTCGTGGGGGACTTGTATTACACAGGGCGCGTTTATTAGAGAGGGGCGTTTAACAACCTCGTTCCCAGGGTTCTCTCCTACCCGCACTACGGAGCGAGATAGGGGAGGGCGGATAGGAGAGAACCCTGGGAACGGGGTTGGGCGTCTAATACAAATTTTTAAACGCGACGATGTTTTATCAGACACGAGGCGTTTATCTGAGGGGGGGGGGGGGGGATTTTAATTGATAATTTACGGTAAAGTAAAAAAGAAAATATAATTCGCTATGCCTAAAAGCGGAGCTCCTAAGTGTCAAATAAACACAAAACTTTAATTTGAAACCATTCAAAAGGAAAGTGTAAGACAAATATCGTTAAGTTACTAATACGAAACTACTGGTAATACGTAAGTTGCAAGTTATATTAGCCTTGCTATAAAAGAAGCTTTAGCTAAATAGTTCACCACGTCAAGTAGCGCTTACCAAAAGGACACTCGGGTAAACTTTGGAACCCTGTCCTGCCTGAGTCAGGTGTATGGTATCCCACGGGTTGAATCATTAAATGACAGCTCAGGCCATCTCTCTCAAGTGCCTCCTTCATCAGGCGGAGAGTTTCGAGTGAAATATATGGATCAAACTTACAGTTCAGTCCAATGATATCAGCACCTACCAATAATAAAAAAAGACTGTTGATTTGCAATGATAGGCCCTATAATAAGCCTGAGAAAACAACCCACGTTTGCGCGACCTCAGCACTGGTTTTATCGTTAAATGATCTCTGAGGAACGAGCGCAGAAATTCCATATTGCCCAGATCACAGGCTGCAGGATGGGATTTCCACTGCGTCATCTGTCTCTCCAAAATTGCACAAGGTGAACCCCAGTCTCCTACTACATTAGTAATGACATAAGTATGAATTTAGTAATGAAGTCATTATCCTTGGCACGTGCTTTCACATGTTTTTCAATGTTTGTTTACATTCGCGCTCGTTTCCGCTTCGCACTGATTGGCGGAAATCTGACAGCTCAATCGACGGGGAACCACAGGGGAATTGGAGGAGGAATTCAAATTTCAGAGAAGTAGTTGCAAGCTCTCCTTCCTTTTCCCGCCCCGCCGCCAGAGCGCCCAGGAGAGCTTGCTCGCAGGCCTTGCCCGCGCAACGTAAACGGCTAATAAAAACGAATAATACCTGTCCTTGCAAGTCGAACTGCGCATTCCTGTGGAGGAACGTTGTTGCTGTCCCCTGCAGGACCAATAGACATTGTGATTGCAGTTGGTTTCCCTGTGGTCTTCATCACCTCTACTACCCACTCTGCTTCTTCGCAATACTCAAAGAACTAAGAGGAGAGGGGTGAGAAGCTATAAACACAGGTCACCGCAATACTCAAAGAACTGAGAGGAGAAGGGTGAGAAGCTAAAAAAAACAGGTCACTGAGAAACTCCAGAATTGAAATAAAATAAAAGGACCTCTATTGGAGCCCAAAATCATTGAGGCCTTTTATTGACTGTTAAAGATTCCATGGAGAGACATATATTTAGGGTCCGTTCACTTTTTTATAGGGCGGGTTGGTGGGATTTGACGGGTAGCTCCTGTAGAATATGATGACCCCCCCTTCATCAGAATTTTTTCGGATGGCAACCCCTTGTATCCCAAAGTAATTGAGATGAGCCCCTCCCCCCGCCCCCTCAAAAAAAAAAAGAAAAAGAAAAAAGTAAATTATCGTACCGAAGTAATTATTGTAAGTGTCCTTCTTAAAAAAGTGTCTGTCTTATAGAGAGTCAAATGATGGGGGTAAAAAAATGCAGGCTCTTGATGTCCGTTTTACTGAGGTGTGCGTCTTATAGAGCTGTCCATTAAGAGATAATTGACTGAGTGTATTTGTTAAAGAGGCGCTGTACTGCTACTGCTAATGCTAATGCTCTGCTACTGCTACTATTACAGCTACAGTGTACAGGAATAGTACTACAATAACTACTTAATCCTAAATATTTTGAGAAAGGACCTCTGGAGCCAGTGTACTACTAGTGCTTAACAAGCTAAAGACAGCTAAAAAAACATGCGCTCAAAATGCTAAATACTCCTAAAAGTTACAATGTTTGCTTCGTGAAATGGCCATTATAGTCCTACACATGTTCCTACCTCAGCAATCAGTAAATCCATGTCATTCTTGAGGAATATCTGAATTTGCTCCTCAATTCGTTCTTGTATGCGGTTCCTTCCAGCTCCATGCATGTACAGGGTTGCTGTTTGGCAAATAGATCCAGCAGAGAACACCCCTCCCTCCCTGGCTACTGCCTTGGCAAGGTCACATGCAGACTGATTGATTTCTTCATTCTGTTGATGCAAGTGTTAAGAATGGATTAGATACTGCAAGGCTGTGCTGTAAGAAAACTGAAAGGAGCCCAGTGCTTTAAACCTGTGAAATCCAGTGTGGTGGGTGAAACAAGAGCCAAAAAAGGCATCTGCTCTTGCAGACTTAGGGTGTTGAGCATATGATTTCTGTGAAAACACTAACATTTTCTAGTCACTCGGGGGCAAAAGTTAGGTGCCAGGGGCCACTGGGGGTGGCTAGAGCACAGCCTCTTCCTGGGATTAAACAAGCCTCCTCAAACTCAGTAGTTAATTGAATTCAGGAAGAAGCCTGCATGGCAGGCTCAAAAGGGAAGCAATAGGAACACAAAACACACCACCTCCCTCCCATTCAACAAAATTGCCAAATTGTGTTTCTATAAATTTTGAATCTTTGGTCTAAATTCAGTCACAAATTAAAGCATGTAAGTCCCGCCTTTCTTGGCCTAGTAGTGGCATCACTGTCAGGGATGCCCTTTAAGAAACCGTTACTACATTCCCAGTTTAAATTACAGATATTATTTGACTGGATCAGGTCATGGACATCTTTTAATTGTTCTTCAAATCACTTTTTTTTTGTTGTGCAACTTTAATCTCGTGGCAGCATCTTAATTCAGCATTTACAGACAATAATATTATTGTAGATCTGGCCCCAGTAGTTCCATTGGATAAATCACCATCCAGTGGATAACGCAATTGGTCTTCGTAATACTTATCCATTAGTAATTGCTCTGGTGGATAGCGTTATCCAACTTTTGAACAACGGGGGCCAGAATGACAGTTTGCTGTTGTTGAATTTTCCCTCTTCCATTTATTACTATCAATTTTTTGTTACTTTAAGTTCAATTTATAGCCTAAAGGGTACTATGATAGCTCTTAGGCCTGTTATTCTCTATTTTATACTACTGATCAGTAGTCCAGTGCCTCCCCCTCTACCCCACCCCCATTTCATATGCATGGAGGTTAGCATGCATGGGGGGTGGGGGGGGGGGGGGCAAAAGTAAGGGGCAGGGATGTTTGTCATCTAACTTAGGGGTGTAAATTTCAGATTCTGGTCTCACTTAAGTTTTTCTAAGCAAAACACCATCACATTTAGCCATAAAGGTCTCTTTTAGGGTTGCACGCGAAGAAATAAAAAAGTGATGTATTTTAAATTAATTTTATTTACTCCATTCATGTAATCAAAGTTTAAATGGTCTCATTTAGGGGTCAAAAAAGGTTGGGCCATGCCCAGATTGGTCTCCTTTAAAGGTTTAACTCAAAATTTCCAATGAGCATCCCCACCCCTTTCACATGGGAGTCCCTCGCCCCAGGGCATGCATACCCCTCTGCCAGGAAGAACTTAGGACTGTACAAGTCATTTCTATAATTATGTGGAAAATACCTTTTCATCAATCACATTATCATCCATGGAGAATGAAAAAGCTTGAATCACATCTGCTCCAGCTCGAAGAAATTCACGATGAAGCTGGTGAACTGAACAAAAAAATATAAATATTGCAGACANGGGGGTGCAAAAGTAAGGGGCAGGGATGTTTGTCATCTAACTTAGGGGTGTAAATTTCAGATTCTGGTCTCACTTAAGTTTTTCTAAGCAAAACACCATCACATTTAGCCATAAAGGTCTCCTTTAGGGTTGCACGCGAAGAAATAAAACAGTGATGTATTTTAAATTAATTTTATTTACTCGATTCATGTAATCAAAGTTTAAATGGTCTCATTTAGGGGTCAAAAAAGGTTGGGCCATGCCCAGATTGGTCTCCTTTAAAGGTTTAACTCAAAATTTCCAATGAGCATCCCCACCCCTTTCACATGAGAGTCCCTCGCCCCAGGGCATGCATACCCCTCTGCCAGGAAGAACTTAGGACTGTACAAGTCATTTCTATAATTATGTGGAAAATACCTTTTCATCAATCACATTATCATCCATGGAGAATGAAAAAGCTTGAATCACATCTGCTCCAGCTCGAAGAAATTCACGATGAAGCTGGTGAACTGAACAAAAAAATATAAATATTGCAGACAGTCACAATGCAAATACCACCAAAGATAAGTTGGTGACAAACTACCAGACAATAGGGAATCTACCTTACAATCCCAATTTTTTTATTTTTAATTAAAAACTGCATAACAAAAAAAGGTGGGAAACAGTAAAACTCCTGATTGCCTGGAATTTTTGCAAAATATGAAGAATTCTTTTCCAAATTTGTATTTCATCTGTTATAAATTTTGCTACACAAGACAGAAAAATGTAACGCTCAAGTTCAAAAGGGTGAAAATAATGGTTTGAAACAGTTTCAATATGTTGAAGTTTTGAGCCCCCTCCAGTCCCCTCCAGCCCCCTCTTTGGGATATTCCTGGGTCTCCCCCTACAGCTTGCGGTGATGAGCCAAGTCCCCTTGGGGTGGGGGGTGGGGGTATAGTTCCCCATCTGAATTTCAAAAGCAGTCATTTTGCATATTGAGAAGGTCAAGGCCATGTAGCTGTAGGTATTTCACTTTTGTATTCAGGATTGTCATTATTTTGTCCCAGTTTCAACCCTGCATCTTCATGTCATTTGTTGCCATTTGATGAGGGGGGCTTAAGGGGGGTGCGAATACTGCAAAACTGCACTGAATTACATATAAATACCGTACAGAATAACATAAGAAAACCACAAACCGCATTGAGATTTTACGCGGAAATTTCTAAATACTGCAAACCCCTTGGTTTTGTAAAACCAAAATACCACAACTTAAAATAAAATTCCCACAAAACCACATCACTGCAAACCCTTACACCACCCTCTTTGATCTATTTTCTTATGTTGCTGTTTCAAGGCCAATTTCGCTTGTCAGAATTTTATCCTAACAGGGCCTCAATGATAGCACATATTCAAAAATTTAGTTCAGACCTGCTTCTGGATTTTCCACAGTGCACTCAGGTGTCCATGGTCCTGCCTTTACGTACCCTCTCTTTTCCAAAGCAAATGTCATCCCACCATCACCGACTAGCACTTTTCCAGCATTTAAACAGTCAAGAACAGTGCTTTTGTTTCAAAACAACAATAAAAAAAATAAAAATAATGACAATAGTAATAAAATAATTTAAACCAAGCATCCTTTTTGAAAATAAAAAACTACATATAAATTTATAACATATCATTACATCAGAGGCATGGATCAAAAACTGGTTTGAGCTCCACACATCCATTCAAGGTTTTTTCCATTTGGTGATTGAAATCATCCCAAATATTGTTTGCAATATGCATTTAACAATCAAACGTGACAATGAAACAAAAAAAAAGAAGACAAGAAACCATGCACGACTGGTAGATATGGGAGGAATTTTACAAAGCTGAACAACTTTGGATTTTACAAGTGTGTGTGGTGCAATGATTTATTGATTAATTTTTGATTTTCAATGTGTTTCATTGAGATCGTCAAGATTTCTTAAACATCTCCAACCTTGCAAAGAAACATTCAAATGCTAACAGTTGAGTAAACACATACATTAAAATGGTCAAAAATATGAAGACGCGTCCAATTGCTAGCAGCAGGAAATAACCCTCACCCCGCCCCAAGGCCACCCCTTTGTATTGTTGACCACGATCTTTCAATATGGATGCATGAGCGATCGATCCGTGGAGTGGCAAGCCAAAACGGGCGCTTTCCATTCAGCGTAAAATTCGGGAAATTTCGGTAGGAAATCAACGGACCATTTCGGTTCGTTCCGACCGGAATATTTGGGACCACAGTTACGCGATTTTGCTGTAACATTTTCGGTGTAAAAGATGACTTTGAACATGTCAAAAAATTAAGTTACTAAAACGCACACTAAAAAACAGAGGTCCTCTACAGATCACATGCCGCAAGTCAAGTGTGTACAATAAGGAAGCTTGACTAAATATAAGCCAAACAGTTTGGCTGCGAACTATGATAAACACAAATAAACATTTGGTGCCAGACGTCAGGGAAGAAAAGCAAATAAACGTATCATTCATACCTTCGATTGTTTCTTGACTCTGTTGCTGTATTCCTATTGATCACTTTTGTGGAAAATACCTTTTCATCAATCACATTATCATCCATGGAGAATGAAAAAGCTTGAATCACATCTGCTCCAGCTCGAAGAAATTCACGATGAAGCTGGTGAACTGAACAAAAAAATATAAATATTGCAGACAATCACAATACAATTACCACCAAAGATAAGTTGGTTATAAACTGCAAGATGAAAGGGAATCTACCTTACAATCCCAATTTTTTTATTTTTAATTAAAAACTGTATAACAAAAAAAGGTAGGAAACAGTAAAACTCCTGCTTGTCTGGAATTTTTCCAAAATATGAAGAATTCTTTTTCAAATTTGCATTTCATCTCTTATAAATTTTGCTACACAAAACAGAAAAATGTAACAGCAAGTTCAAAAGGGTGAAAATAATGGTTTGAAACAGTTGCAATATTTTGAAGTTTTGAGCCACCTCCTGCCCCCTGTTTGGAATATTCCTGGATCTCCCTTCCAGCTTGCGGTGATGAGCCAAGTCCTCTTAGGGTGGGGGGTGGGGGTATAGTTCCCTGTCTGAATTTCAAAAGCAGTCAATTCGCATATTGAGAAGGCCAAGGCCATGTAGCTCAGTCGGTATTTCACTATTGTATTCAGGATTGTCCTTATTTTGTCGTAGTTTCAACCCATCTTCATGTCATTTGTTG